CAGCAACCTAGTTTTCCCAGGAGGTCTCCCATCCAGGTACTGACCAGGCTCAACCCTGTTTAGCTTCAGCGGGCAACCAGTCTTGGGCTACAGGGTGATATGGCTGTCTTCTTTTTTTATTGTATTTGTACTCAATTATTCTGGTGTGATTTTAAGATCTTCTTTGAAGAGGTTTCGGGAATTGACATTACTTTAGAAGATAAGAATGTTTATTTTATAATGATAAGCCTTTAGAGAAGAAATTATATTTTGTTCTTAATTTGTTTATTATATTAGGGAAATATCACATTCATAAATGTCGATGGTCAAAGTGTACACCTAGTTTTTACCATTTAAATTTGAGCTCTGTCAGTATCTTAAAGTGATGGAAGGTGTAAGGAACTCTAAAGCAAAAAAGACTATAGATTGTTGTAAAGCCTTGCAACTTTTAAGGACCAAATGCATTGCTGTTCTGTTGTAAGTAATCTTAAAGATTCCTAAATGCATCTACTTTCGGACTAAATGCACCTGCTTTTGCCTAGAAACACACAGCATCTCCCTGACATGGCTGCTTCAAAACTAACTGCGGTTACTGAAACCACGCCTTCTTTCTTTGCGTGCACATTTGGGCGGCATTATGCTAATATTTCCACATAGTGAGGTAGATATGTGGGGGCGTGTTAGAACGAGCCATTTTAGGGGGGCGTGGCAGAGTCTTAACTTTGATAAAGAATATCTCTTTGGATTTGAGACTTTAGTCTTTGCAACTTCAGGGATCTTATCTATGCACAATCAGCTTGTAACACTCCAAAGAGAAAGGAAAACTTGAAATCGCATCATATGACCCCTTTAAAAAAAAAAAAAAAGACTCAAATCTTTAATTTGGCACTCTACACTCCTGTCCAATTGGTGGCGGTAATGCACAATGAGCAAGTTTGCCAACCGCCAAAAGTCTACAAGAAGAAGAGAAAGCAGAAACAACATTTCAAGATGTCGTCGCTGAATGACAGATCAGTTTGGGATGAAGTGGAGGTCTGTTATGTGTTTTTTCCGTGGTTCTATACTATTTTCCAAAATTGGTAAATATTGTACACATGTGCAGAAATATGTATTAGGAGAGACGTGTTTAAATGGTGTTTCAGCACCGTCTTCGGGTCTGACGGCTTTCTGATGGAAGAGCATAGCATGACACAGTGAATTTCACTTTGCTTCATTCATTCTTTATAAGTGTGTGAATTCGCCCATGCGATCATTCAGCGTGGTATATAATGACAGAACAACTCCAAATTTTAATTCGGTCTAAAATTACAAAAAGATCGCAATACATCTTTAGTAAAAGTGTGATTGTGGCTTGCTAGGATAACGTTAGCAGGGTGAGCTAATGATTATCATGGTAACTGAGGTTTCCTGCTGCTCACATTAAGTTTAATCAGGAGATGTTGTTTGAGTATAGGAAGTATACAGGATACCTGATGTTTATGAGGTTAGAGGCTGGAAGTCTTGAAAACAGACAACTTATATTCAAACATGACTCCTCCGTTATATTTTATAGGATGGCATCGGCGAAGAGGTCCTTAAGATGTCCACTGAAGAGATTGTTCAGAGGACTCGTCTTTTGGACAGTGAAATTAAGGTAACGTTAGCCTCCATACTGTAATTCACATTTAGTGTGCAGATGATTGTTTTCAGTGTCGTCTTGCAGTTCTGTGCCTCATTATATTGTTTATGATTGCAGATCATGAAGAGTGAGGTTCTGCGTGTCACTCATGAGCTGCAAGCCATGAAAGACAAGATCAAGGAAAACACAGAAAAAATCAAAGTGAACAAGACTCTGCCCTACCTCGTCTCCAACGTCATAGAGGTAAAATGTCTCCTTTCCTCTAGACATCTTATTTAAAGTGTTACAATGGGATATAAGGAGCTTTTTTTGTCTGCATCTAGTATGTGCATGGGATTTAAAGTTTGTATGTGTTGTGTGTTTGAATGGAAGCTGCTTGATGTAGATCCTAATGACCAAGAGGAGGATGGAGCCAATATTGATCTGGACTCGCAGAGGAAGGGCAAGTGTGCCGTCATCAAAACCTCCACGCGGCAGGTGAGTCAATTATGTAATTTGAACAGCTTCAGCATTGTTATTGTGTGGCCATTATGCTTTTCCTTCCTCCATCACTAACATTTTCCTCTGTGTTTTTCTTTTTAAATACTGATTCATGTAACTTTAGCTTAATGGTTTTATAGTGTATGACATAGTACTATAATTGCAGACCTATTTCCTGCCTGTGATTGGTTTGGTGGATGCTGAGAAACTGAAACCTGGTGATCTTGTGGTAAGTGAGAATTAATTTCCCTTGACGAATTAGTTCAGGATATTCACAACCTTAAATAATGTTGTTTGAAATGTCTCTTTTGCTTTGAAATGTTGAATTTGCATCTGCTGCTGTTCACAGGGTGTGAATAAAGACTCTTACCTGATTTTGGAGACTCTACCCACTGAGTATGACTCTAGAGTTAAGGCCATGGAAGTGGATGAGAGGCCTACAGAGCAGTACAGTGACATTGGTGGCCTTGACAAACAGATTCAAGAGGTATTGAAGTTGCTCACAATGACAGTATTGTAGACAGAATGTTAGTTGACATATTTCTGAGCTCACTGCTTTGCTCTTTGCAGCTGGTGGAGGCAATTGTTCTGCCCATGAACCACAAAGAGAAGTTTGAGAATCTGGGGATCCAACCACCAAAGGGAGTTCTGATGTACGGACCGCCAGGCACAGGAAAGACGCTGCTGGCCAGAGCCTGCGCAGCCCAAACCAAGGTGCAGTGTCTCTGAGCGAGAGAGAACCATCAGAGTTAGGGCTGTTATATTCTGTTTTATTATTTTTCTGATATCAATTGTGATTGCTTACTGTTGTGATATTTCACTGAAAAACTATAGTATTTAAGAAAAAAAAAACTATTTTACAGTACAATTATCAGTATCAGTATTACTAATTTCTTCTTTTTCATATGTTAAACCATCAAACTTTTTATTTTGATGCAAAACTGCAGGGACCCTTAAAGTGTCTCATTTATTTTCAAGCACTTCTCATTACAAGTTTTGTTTGGTGGATGTTGCATTCCCAAATGCAGGTTAAAGGTGACCCAAACTCGGAGCAGATGCTCCTCCTCATAAAATCCATCTCTGCATTTACTGCAGACCGAGCCGCTCTGAGATACAGAAAACACCGTCATGAGCAGCTTTGCATGCAACACAGTGCTTCGCTCTGAAACACGCAACACATAGAAATTATGGCATCACATCATGGCAAATTCCAGTGTTTCCCCTGCCATTATATTAGGGGATCCAACCACCCCGGCCCGCCCCCCCAACGGCACCCCCCCCCTCCCTTGGAGGG